TTAGATCATTCACCGCCTTGTGATTATCCTTTTTAAGGATGTGCTTGTAAAATCATTTCTCTTTGCATCCTCATCCTAAATACATAGTTTCGTTTCAAATTACTATTAGTCAGTGTCTTTTGACAATGAAATATTTTCATTGTTTGAAACATTATTTATCGTTCTATTCAGTTAATGAAATCATTAATTAGAAAAAATTTAATACTTTTTAAATTATTTTCTTTTTTTAAATGAATAGTAATTATAATTCTACCGTAATCATTTGACATATTCTAATAACAATGTTATATTTGCATTAGGAAATCAAAAAAAAAAAGATGAAAATACTTTTTTAATGCTTTCACTCTTTTTATTTTTTTCTATTCTTCATTAATACTGCAAACATTAATTCAATTTTTTTTTTTTTACCGAAGGTTGAATTTTTAATTTAACTTTGTTTTTTTATTAGAATCTTAAAACTAAATTTTTATTTATATCAGGTAATGTGGTATTTAATTGGCTCGAAAAAAATATTTGATAATCATTCAAATATTGTTAGTAATTTTATGTGAGTCAAATAGCTTTGCTAATTTTATAATTCGATGAGTGACAAATTTTTATTTCAACATCTGATCATACTATCACTATTAAAATTGAATTAAAGGAATTCATTAAAATTTTATGAAATTTTTAATTGGTACTGAACTTTTCGTGATTTTTTGCTGATTCCCAAACTTTGGATGAGTCTTACCTGTGGAATATATGCAAGTTCCAATCTCACTTTGTCATATGGTTAATTGTAAATACACTGTCTTTTTAACTTCTCTTTGCTTAATATAAGTTACTATAAAATTAAATTGTGTTAAAATATGAAATTACATTTGCTTAATATTCTGTTATATTAGTTTTTATCAAATAATATTTGGTGATGCAGTGTCAAATGTATAATTATTACTTAAAAATAGACTAATTTTATGGAAAAAGATAAATGATACTTTAGCTTAAGTCGGAAGGTCAACGGTTTTGTGCAATAATTCTTGCATACTAGCAATTTCGATTTCTTTGTTTTTCAGACAAAAAAATTAGTTATTTCTGAAATAGTCCGAAAATTTTGTAAAATGGCAAAAGAACTGTATACATTTCCATTTTCAAAAGCTGTTGTATGACAACAAAAGGACAACAAAGTTCATTAAAGTTCAAGTAGATTATTGAAGGAAATATGGTAATAGTAGTTATTAGATGAATCAAATTTTCAGACAACAAACTTTGTTGTTACCCATCAACAGATTTCCCAACTATGAATTAATGTAAACTGAATCCAACCAATTACCCAAATCTCATCCATACGAACAATGAATGGTCAACATAATATAACAAAAGGAAGTAGTAGCCAACATTATGAAAGGTCATCATTAGACAAAATACATTTCTGAGCAATTAGTTCTTCACACCTCTAACTCTACAGTAGTCTTCAATTTGATAAATGCAGGAAATTGTATGTTATGAGATCTGAATCTGATTGATGACCTAATTAAGTTTCATGTGGATAAGATAATTAGCTGAGAAAATGACGAACTACTGGATTACTTAATTAATACATCAATCCTAATATCAAATTACGGATAAAAATAAAATTTGATTCCTGAAAAATCTAATAAAATATGAAAAAAAATTTTTTTCTTGTATTAAAATGCATAAAATTTATGCACCATAATTATTACTTCTTATCTTTTTGTTTTCTCATTTTTCATCTTTTCAGTTTATTTAAAGAATCACAGAAAAAGGATGAAAAAATCTCAATTTTGTTAATTAAAAATGACCTGAAAATGGATTTGTTCTTCATATGGTATTAGTTATGCAAATGAGGATAAGAACAGATAATCTGTTGAAGAAATTAAGATATTTGCTATGATTAGGATACTCGTCATTAACTGTTGACCTCTTTTCTATTATTTTCAAGGATGTGAGGAGTGGTGAGAAAGAATCATGAAGTGATCCCACCTGCTCATTTCCACTTTTAATATTTGTTCAGTTTCACTTTCACTATTTATTCCATTACACTTTTCCAACAAGTACCATCTATCAGTAAGTATCTAAGGTATTGGCTAAAGTATACAAAAATATTCATTTCTTATTTTTAATAAATGTCCACATAGCCTACTACGTTTCTATCTTCTAAATAATTGCTAAGGAGTCGTATGCTAATAAGTTCATTTTCCGGAATTCTGGGATTCTGTAAGCTCCGAAATCCAATATGAAATAAATCTATATTTCAGTTCTTCTTTTGTTATTGTTATTATTCTGAAAAATAAATTCGGCATGGAATATGTTCAATTGCGGGAAATCATTCCTTCTGTGAGTATTGACGTGAAATGTGTTTAAAACCATTCTTCCTGATGGATACTACTCGTTTATTTATAAAGTATCTGATATTTGATGTAACAGAAACAGATCAATTATAACCAATAAATAAACCATTGACTTATTTAAAATTCTCGAATATGGCCTTGAAGATAGTCTTTAAATCAAATTTTATTGCTACACATAAAATAAAATTAGTAATCGAATTATACTCATTGCTAAAAAAGGTAAAGCTCAACCAGTAAGTCATCATTAAAGTAATCAGGAAAGGAAGAAGTACGAATTTGCTACTTAATTTTATTGCACTACAGTAATCAGTGAAGCATACCGTTCATTACTTGCTGGAGTACCACATCATCAGTTTTGGTTGCTTAAAATCGGAAGAAGCAGGTGCAGTAGAAGTGGTAGCATTAACTCGATGCATTGTTTATGGATCTTAAACAAGACTAATTGGTTGACACGAACATTGTACATACAATTCACCAAATGTCACCCATCCAGCAATAGTAATAATGGAACTAATTGAAATGAGTCGTCTACTCCTCTTATTATGTAATGAAACAAAAGAATAAAATAAGAGATAAAAAAAATAGATCAAAATCAAAATAAAATAAATTAGTTAAAATGACAATTGAATTCTTATAGAATTTTGTGGACAGGCAACAGATTTATATTTCAAAAGTAGAATTTCATAGTTAAATATGTTTTATAACATTTCAAGCTTGTTTATATTTACTATTCTCAATACTAATTGATTAATGATTAGTTATTTAATGAATTGAGGCAAAAAATAAAAATTAAAGAAGTATAGAAAAAACTTCAAAAAAAAGTTCTAAAAAAATTTATTTAACAAAAAAATTTGCACGCTTTTTTGAAGCTTAATTTTTTTTCTAAATTCATTTGCAATTTATAATTTTACAAAATTTTACGTGTAATCAAAAAATTAGTATTTAAAATTTTAAAATATCCAGTTACTTTTCAGAAATTTAAAAAAATTTTGATAGATAAAAGTAACTCTCAAATATTAGTTTAAAGTTTTATTCTTTTATTACATCGAATTTTAATTATTCTTACAGGAATTATCATATTTAGCAATTATAAAAAAGTTTTTGTCTTTTCATAAATGATATACCTGATTGATTCCTGGTAAAGGATTGATCCGTGCTAATTAACTTTTAAATTTATTCATGTGATGGATGATGCGATACTAATACAATTAACCTTCCTTTACCTTCAGGAAATACCAATCGGATTACTTCCTGTCGGCTCCTTTCAAAAGATATAATGTTGTTCAATTGGATATTCATTTAATAATAACCATCACATTTTGATACTAATTATCAACTTTTAAACACTTATAAAGAAAATAAACTGTGACTTGAATTTTTTGAAATTTAATTCAATTTTTTTATTTTTTTTTAGAAGTGTTCAAAAGTTGATAATTAATAATATTAAGGTGCGATAATTAGTGACAAATGAATATGCTATTGTTATGTAAATTTTTACAGTACACATTCAGCATTCAAAAATTTTCTTTTTTTTTTAAAAAAAAATAATATTCACTGAAACGCTGTCGTTCTAAATGTATTTGTGTCAAATTGAAGTGAGATAGTTGATAACACATTTAAATTTAATTTTACTACATTGTACATACTTTGCTTCAGAAGTGTTAATGATATAATGTGCTAGTATAATTCACTAATTTAGCTGTTTCAAATACTTTTTTAAGAAGAGTTTTGGCGAAATTTTCAAATATATTTAGTAATCACAGTGATTAAGCAACAAATATTTATTCTATAAGCCATCACAATTGATGCTAACAACAAAAGAAAAAAAAAAACAACTATAAAGGACAAATAATGAGAAAATAATTTGGTATAGAGAAGCAACAAATGAGGAAAACGAAAGTAATGAAATCAAGACAAAAAATTTTTTTTAAAGCTAATTTATAATGAGAAATTATAAACAATATTGAATTCATTAATTAATTCAATCCAAATATCAATTTTAAATTACTTCCTCAATTAAATTCTAAATTAGTGCATATAACTTCCATCAACAATACATTACGGTACATCCGGAGTGCATATATTCCATTCAGTGTAATTACTTCCTTCCAACTCCAGAAAAATAATCAGCCTTTCCGGTTTGCAACCAACTGCCAGGTGCATAATTGTTAGCCTCTCAATTAGTACTGCATTGTAAGGGAGGAGAGCCAAGAATGGGGAGGAATCTGAGTTAGAACGTCCATCCAATCTCCATTAATGATGAACAACAATTTGGCGCAATACAATGGGAGGAGCTTGCGGTGATGCGGTAGTCCATCCCACATTAATCCGACACATCAGGTTGCAGCAGTTGCCGGTGCTGCGACTGCTTCTGCTGTTGCTGTTGCTTGCCCGTTCCGCACAAGGCTATTCATATTCGTGTGATTGTCATCTCCCAGTGGTACGGTAGCAAATCTCTCTCTCTCTCTCCCTTATCACTGAGAACCAGCAAATTCCACCGCGGTACAATAACTCCTCGCAAATTCCCTACTTACCAAGCAATTAAAATAATAATAGAAGAGATTACACCAGTGTACGCTGTCTATGAGTAAGTAGGAAGGGTTATTCAATGCGTCCGTCAACTGCTGAACGCCTTGAAATATACGCTTTCAGATGTTATGCGTTGCGTTACTCATCGATAGATTTCCTTCACCGATAGGGTATATTCCGTGTTCGGCAACGATACTTTCAAGTTTCATCGAATCAGTTGTAACGGATACTGCACGAATCGTTCCTATAGGCAATCACATTTCCGTATTTATCCCTGCGACAGAAGACGAACGGAAGGTGAAATTTATGGATGCTGCAATGCAAACATCGCCTGGTTTGTTACTTTCTTCGAAGGATTTCAAATTCTGCTTTACGTTCCATAAAATGAATTGAATTTTAGTAACGCAACTCAGCATGTCAATGATAGCTCGTCAATTGCGTGATATGGCTGACAGGTTCGAGTACCACTACAGTGAGGAAGAACGACACTCTGCATGCACACCTGCGCCATCATCGCCGCAGTCGCAGGTTAGAATTCGTTACATAATCTCTCGGGGAAGAACTGCTCTATGGAGGAAAAATATGAGTCACTCAAAATTAGATAAATCCCACATTAGATTTTGTGTAAACAAAGCAAATATTAATGCACTGTAATAAAGTCCCAATCACTATTAAGGGTTTACGGTTACAATTATTGCGCAAATTGTCAAAAAATATTGCCATTGACGTATTCACGTAAATTCTTCACTTTTTCATTCTCAAAAGATTATTTTAAATGATTATATTTTAAATAATAAACATTTCGTTTTCTAACTCTCAAATTACCAACTTTGGTCGAACATTGAGTCGTTTAATACTCAGGAAGTTTTGGCACTTGTAATTTAGGTCAAAACTGAAATAAATTTCAGGTGCGAAGTTTGTCATTTTCAACTTTCGTCCAATTCATTACAAAAAATTTCATCAATGTTTTACTGGAACGAATATTTGAACGATTCTATTTGAGGAAAAAGTGAATTGCGTGTCTACCTTGTACCTATCTGCGTGATATTTCCGTGTTACACTAACCGTAATAGAGAAGATGTGGCGATAACAGTTAGCACTATTGTGTCACAGATAATGTTTAGTGGCGGAATGGTAGAAAAGTGTATGATAGAATGAGTCGGCCATATTAATATCATATTTTAATTATCGAACACAATACTAATTATTAATCAATTTATTTTTGTACTTATTTTGTGTATTAATTGGTGCTATGCAATTTTGTTTGAATAAACAAATATTTAAAATTTTGTTAAACAAAGTTTTCTTCACCAATTTCATTACTTTGCTATGGTTGAGTCTTTAAATTAACAAAGTATCGTTAAAATTGAAGCATTTGTTTAGTTCCGACTTTTTGCTAGAATAAGACAACAGCGCACAGTAGTAGTAACCTAAAAACTACGGTATTAATAGCCGAAAGGTTCAATTGTACAGTTAGTGGCTCTATAAATGACGTAATGTGAAGTGACACCTGGTCATTCAACTTTGGCACTTTAATTAATTCAACTGCAAAGAATTCAATAATCTCAAGCCGAAAGCATTTTTTTACTATCATTTACAAGTGCCCAGCAAGTGCTTCCATACACTGACCACTCTTTAGAGTCATTACTTTGTCTACGTTTTTCCACTATGCAATGATTAATTAATTCGATGAAACTATTTGTTGCGCCACGTGGCAATCATCAGAAAAGTATAAAAGAGAGAGAGAGAGAGAGAGAGAGAGGGCAAGGAAAAGAGAAAGTGTGGTTGAGAAAAAGATTAGAATTGAAAGTTGTGGAATGTGCAAAATATTGCAAAAAAAGAAGAAATCTTAAAAGTCATTTAAGCATTTGTTTACCATTAAATCTAATCTATGCTCCTTTGCTGACCCATTTGACCTTTCATAATTATGTGAGAAAACGATAATCTTAGTTAAAAAGCATATGGTATTCTGTGCAAGTGGTTAATGGCAAAAAATTTTTTTGCACTAAGCTGTAGACTTATGTAAACTAAGCTAACAGTGGACAATAACCTTCAGACTAGACAATTATCCAGGAAGTCCTTCTAGCTTGTTGTTTTCTCAATTAAATTCACACCTGCGCAAACGTTCAGTGAAAAATGATGGATGAGCAATTAAGAGAAATACCATTCACATTTACGCATTCATATCGAATTACATATTGTTGGGTAAGATTAGTAGCTCACACTTCTAAGTGACATCGTTTAAAGCAAATTCATTTATCAGCTATGTGTCAAAGTTGATTAATTTATATATAAAATTTATAGTAATATAAGGAGTCATTGTAAATGAATTGAGTCCTATTCCGATATTTATTTATTTTCATGAAGTTTTAAACTAAGTTTAAAGTCCGAAAGTGATTCACAATAAAGATTATTTCATAACTTTTTTTTTGATATTAATCATTCTAGAAAAGAGGGTCAAGGAAAATCTGACACAATTAAAGTTGACAAAGTATTGTGAAATCGATGTCCTCTACCAATGATTGAATTTAATGATGGAGAAATTGTGGACAGTCAGTAAAACAATTTGACAAATGAAAATCACCACATTTTCTTTTTTCCTTTCACTCTGTTAATTTGTACATCCCTTTTATAAGATGATTGTTAATTGAAGTTTGTTAAATTACTGCCTTCCAGGAGGTCTCATATGAAAAGTTTACCTGTTAGTCTTGTTGATGATGCTGTTATTGTCATTTCGGTCTACCTCTTATTCAAAATCGAACTGATCATTATTCCATTCATAACTCTCATTCAGCCACTTTGAATGAAATTAGAATGAATAGGGTCTGAATTAAAAATTCATTAAATCAAGATGTTTCAGTTTAAACGAGTTGTATTCCCACATCTATTCCACATTAGCTATTTCTTCATTTATAATATCTTTTATTCTTTTATTTCATTTATATCTTTTATTCTCCTTTATTTTTTTATTCTTTTATTTCATTCATCACTTCTCAGATTAATTCTCAAAGTTTTTCATTTGAAATCTTCATAGATCTTTTTTCGCAAAATTAAAAAATATTTGATTGAAATCTAGAAAAAAGATACAGTGCTGAGCTGTAATACTTATTCGATAGCTTTCAATCAATTTAAAAAAAAAAGGGTCAAAAAAGCTGTCATTAATAAAATTCCGATGATATTATGAAATTCGTACGAATCGTTAATGATTAAGTTTAATCCAAGAAAAAAAAAAAAAAAATTTCAACGATTGGCAAAACAATACGACAAGTGAAAAATCTTTCTTTCACTTTTTCCTCCTCCGCTCCGACAACCTATCAGATCAAAATGATTCCATTTCGTAATGAATGGAGATGAATCATTAATTGTTGATTAGGTGATCTTGCCTGAGAATTTCACCTGTAGATATCTCATACGATAAATTTACTTGTTACTTTTGTTGTTGTTGTTGTTCCGGTCTATGTCTCTTTCATAATCGGATCGTACCATTTAGGGAATAGGCCATTTATTCGCTTCATATATCTCATTCAGCCATTTGAAATGAAAATTCGAATGAATAGAGTTGAAATGCAGCAAAGTGATGCAAAATGTCAACATCCATACTAATTACAAATTAGAATGATCTGTCAAATCTGTCCTCCAAACTGAGAAACATTAAGAAAATTATTCACTAAACTTTCTATGATAATTGCTAACAATAATGTTAATCCATTTTGAAAGTGAAATAAGTTTTATTTTAAATAATAAACGACAATTAAATTTCATAATTATTATAATTGTTCCCTCATACTTTCTTTAAATTCTAATTTCTACTCTTTTTTTTTTTTTGTCATTTATATTTATTATATTTACTGTTCCCTCTAAAATGAAATGGAGCACTTTTTACAATTCACAACAATTATCTAAAAAATTAAATTAATCATTGTTTGCCCTTTTTTTTTTTTTGATTTGTTAGGAAAATAATGAAATTTCGAACTAAATCAAATCAAATAAATTTTTACAAAAAATTCATTAGAAATCGTAATAGTAAGCTGATTACGATCAAAAAAAAAAAGAAAGAAAAGCGAAAAATGAAGAAAAAAAAAAGTTATTTATTTTAATGTTTGCTGCAAAAGCCGCCATTTCTTTTTTGATAGGTAATCACTTCACACTGTTCTTTGTGTCCATAATTTTTAACTTTTTTCTAATATATTACAACGAACAAACGATCAACCAATAATCATTCCTTCTCACTTTGTCGTTATAATCAACTAAATATACACACACAGACACTTAGTAATAGTATTATTCAGTGGAGCATTAACGATTTCTTTTTGTTGGTAGTCATTTAAGAAATAATTTTTATAACAGAACTTAGAAATATTGGATAATAAAAGAAAGATGCAATTCTTTTTCAAGTTTATTTCATTTCTTTAAAGGTTTCTAATATTTTACTTATTTTTTAGAGTTAAATAAATAATATTTCATAAATGAATGATTATGTTGCACTATCCCGTATTCACTTTCTATCATTTATATATTATTGGTTGTATAATAGTCAATTTATAAAGTATTAAAAAATATTATTATTAACTTACTGTGAATAGGTTTTATGAATTCTTAATTAATGAAATAATTTAATTTAGTATAAATTGCAAAGCAAATGAAAATATAGCCAAGATTATGTGCTTGAAATATTCTCATAGAGAAAATTGAGAAGAAATAAATGTAAATGCAATAATATTTGTTCAAGAAGAGAAACATTAGTTTGTAAAAATAATCTAAATCAAATTTCAATTACAATTATTCAATCACTGAACATATTCATTTCCATTTAGTCACATCAAATTAAAGATTATACTTTGTTGCATAATGAGAACATTCGAATATCGTTCGAAATAAGAATAAATTAACTGATACACTTGCTTTTTTTTTTCTGACTAATTATGAGATAATTTTCGGTTCTACGATAATTCAAAAAAAAAAATTCGAAAAGAAAAGAGTAATCACTGATAGAATTTGCATGATCATTTCTGAACTAATTTTCCATCCTATTATATTACTGTCCTCTTTTATATCTAATTTTGAAGTAATCTGAGCAGCAAATATTTCTACAAGTAAGTATAAAAGAAATTTTCAAAAATATGGATTGCAAGATTCAAATCAATTTTGATTCAAATCAATTTTGCCAACTATTTTTCTGTTCCACTGTGCAGACTTAAAAATAACTCATAAATGTAAAAAACTATCTTTTTTTTAATAACTTTCAGCATCCTCCCTCATCATATCTTTTGATCTAGCACTGAACATTGAAGTTTTATCAAACAATTCAGTATTTTTAAAATAAAAGGTTCTAACTTCAATGACTTTTCGCCTCATAAAATGTCAAAAATATAAATGAACTTTATCCTTCATGCTCATTAATCTCATTATAAACACCTGCTACAGTTTGCTGTAAGTATGATAAAGTAAGCTTTGAAGTAATCCGATGATTGTATGAATAATTTGGAATGTATTGTTCTCAAAGGTAACACTAAGCTCATAGTCTCGTATAATTTACTTCTATACAATGAAGTATTAATTGTTCAGGAAATAGAGGTTACCGGTCATAACTATATCACAATTGAATTGTTTTTCTTTTCATCTCATAAATCATAACAATTCAGTGTTCTTTTCACCTTTCTCATTCCAAAGTCCAGATGACCTTTAGTGGTGCTAAAATGAGTGACCAAATTAATAAGCAAAGCTTATAGTACTATTTAACTAGTAGTTAATGGAATTAATAACTGTTGCTTAGAATATTCCATCGAATATGCCAAATTGCTATTTTAGCATATGTTCAAATACATTTGATCTATTAGTCTAAATAAAGAAGGAAACAGCTTGTACTACATAGGATCATTTTACAGTAAATGTAGTAAGTGAATGGCAATAAGCTTTTCTATTCAATGAAATTGCTTAGGTCTTAAATGATAATAATCAGATTGTTATTTGAACCTTAAATCGTTTTTATTACATTCTTCCAATTAGCTGTTGTAACTTTAATTATGATTTCCTTATTAAATTTTAGTCTCTATAATTATTGACAGATTGTTTTCATCCATTATAAAATGAAGTGATAACCGGCAGTTATATCGTTCGAAAAACTGCATTCAACTAAGAGAGTAAAATAACATAGAAACGAATATTAAAGCTAATCTTTTCATCTCTCATACAAACAATTTTTGTTACATTTATGCAATTTCACTTTTCTAGATTTTACTGAAAAGCAATCAATTTTTTCTTAGTAAGATACGTTTTTTTTTTTATGTCCTTTAAAATAAGTAAAAATTGTGAACTATCATTCATCTAGAAAATTACCAATATTCAGTTGTCACAACTGTCGTCACAATCCATCCGTCCAGTTGATGCCGTTTGCGCATTTTATCCATCAGTGGCAATTTGTTTATTCTTTTAGAATGGAAAATAGGATGGATGAATCATCAGCTACCGTGACAAAAACTCAAATATGTCTGTGTTTAAAATAGCTGATAGGGTGTCCATTTCCTCCCATGCTGCAAAATATTCCTAATGGGTGCAAAGGGGATAAAAATGTCATTTATGCAAAATTTAAGATAATGAAGAAAAAGACATGAAGATGCAACAAGCAACATTCTTGCTGTTAATGTATCGATGACATCACTCACAACGGCAAAACAATCAACTCATCCATATATATAACTAAAAGCAATAATTACAATCTATTCACAGAATACATTCTTTCCTGAAACACCGGACACTACCATTATTATCATAAAAAATGTGCTAAGCTCATAAAAATATGCATACAAATTGACAAACATACAGAAAAATAAATTGAAGTATAGCAAATTAGTCAACATTTACAGATGAAAAAATATATGCATAAACCTTCAATGTATGATAAGGATCCGTAATTTTGTATTACAAATTATAGTGGAATACTGCAAATATTAATCTTCATGAGGGGAAAAAGTAGATAAAATCTCAAACAGATGGTAACATTTGAAGAAGGCAACTGCGGTTATACTAACGGATGTAGAAAACAGTAGAATAAATGAATAAACAAATAAAACAAGGTAAATAGTTTTCGAAATGTTATGGTGCATCACTGCAATGTAATCAAACATGAAATCAAAACAGAAATAAATGGATAGTTAAAGACAAGTTAGGATAATAAAAACAGAACAAGTAACTGCAGCACGGTTAAAGCAATTGTTATAGCGGAAACAGAATTTTTCACTTCTTGACTTCATCTTTTAAATAATCTGAAACTCTGACAAAATTTTCAAAACGTAAGAATTTTAGGTTTGGAAAATAACAGCAAAACAATGAGCATGTATATCCAACGGTAGTCGAATAAAATAAATTCTCGAAGAATACCTTGAAGAAAGAGGAACAAAATTTGCAACAGAAAACTCGCACTTACTAGAACAAAGACTGATGAATTCAGAGAAATGTAAAAATTTGATAGCAATTGAGAAAACACGATTATGATAATAAGAAGTAAAACTGTGGTAGAATGAGAACGTTGCTTTCGTACAGTTAAACAATACCGGCCACTCGTCCAATAGGAATGTTGATAACATACTTCGTGAAACTGGAGAACTGCAATAAAGTTCAATAAATGATTTTTTTTTTAGTTTCTTGAATTCAACGATTTCTTCTTTAGTGGTACTTAGCTACATCTGTTTCGATCCTTCAAAAAATAAAAAAAAAATTTTTCTGAATTTCTAAAATGTACTCTACATAACGTACTGATAATTAAAGTGAGATTCATCACGGTAAAATTCATCATGGTAAACTATATAACAACTAGCAACTATTATCAACAATCGTGAATCCCCCACATTCAACATGAGATTCAAAGAGAACTTACAAGCGAAGCACTACTTTTTCCCCGATCTTTGTAAACTTTCTGAAATTTAACTTCAAAATTATCGGCTAAACTTCGAAGCTGCTCAGCAATCAGCCGGGCATTCCATTCTTCTTGTTTTCCTGCATAAAAAAACTATTCAAAAAACAACCAATAAAACAAAGATTTAATGAAAATATGATTTATTACACTTTAATAAAAGAAATTGAAAAATGAGGAAAAGAAAAAAAAAAGCAAGTACTACCTTCAAAATTCGTTGTATCCAATTTGCCGGTGATTTTCGCAGACTTAGCTTCATTGCTTCCAAAGCCTATGCCAAGAAAAAAATTTTTCCGAATAACCAACTCATCCTCTTCTTCCCTACAATTTCCCATTCTTATGCAGCCCTGAAATGAGTGAGATTTATTTGACTAAAATGAAGAAAAAAAGTAGAATAAGTAATATCATAGTGAATGAAACTCAACCACTTTCTTTGTTATCTTTCCCCCTTATTTTTGAATCAGATGAAGAGGAATAGGACTATTTATAGATAGTTCATTTGCAATAATCAAGATAAATCAAAAATAAATTGACTTGATAAAGCTTTATGTCTATGCAGCATTCCACATGATCACCAAGAGACATAGCAGTGTCACAGGGATAAACTGTTAGGACATGAGAATAGCTCAAATAAGTATTGTCAATAATACCACCAGTGTAATGCATCTGAAAAATAATTCAAAATACAGTAAATTCAAAACTACATCACCAACGAAAAATATTTGAGAAGACGACAAAAAATCATTTTCTAAACATTCTTTCTATTAAACTCTACATCCTAATTAGAAAAGAAATACAGCAGAATAAATAAAACTGCTAATACGTTCATATATCATTTTCTCGCTTGCATGAACTGTCTAAATTGTGATCAAACAGTCATATTATTATTCTATGTGATTTTATCAGCTAATTCAAATCATATTTCAAATTGAATTTTAAAACTATCTTCAAACTACCAACTTTTTTTAAAAAACTTTTTTTATTCTACATCATATTAAACTCTTAATGATACTTTACATCTTAAAACTTATTTCTCATTTTTGACAACAGACATGTTCGAGACTAAATCGCTACACATTTGCTAACGACTGATTACTCAAAACAAAAAGAAAAGAAAAACTTCTAATGATGTATTGCAGCATATCTGTTCCCAAGAACGGCAAGTTTATCCATTCATCAGCAAATCTAAATAAATTGATTAATATATATGTGCAAATGTGTGTATGTGCATATGTTTCTATACTGTATGAAGGGATATCTTTGTAATAATTAAATTATTGTTTACCAACGAATATTGTTTTATGGTTAATCTCATATTCCTATAAACCCATTAATTGCTATGCTAAGCTACACTTTCTTAGCTTTCAACTGTTAGCATTTATCATATATAAAAAAGAAGAAATTTTAAAGTGAATTTTAGAGTTGAATAATATAAATATCCAGAAATGCTAACTCAAAACTGATGCTCTGTGACATAAAATAGAAAAATTAACTAAAATTAATATTGTGTACAAACAGAACAAAACGTTTGTGTACGGTACAAAATATAGAAAAAAAATTGCGCAGTGCAAAATACTGTGATGGAACAGAATAGTATAGCATAGCACAGAGTATAAGTAAAGCTAAATTATTCAAATATTTCCTTTTTTTTTGTTATTAAAATTTTTAGAAAAAGTTTTGCATTTATTAACATTGTGAAATCTCTTCCTAAAACAAAATTTTTTCATTTTTTCTAAAATTTCCAAAACATTTCAATCCAAATTGTTATTTGCACTATTTTCAAATACTTTTTATACTTTAATAAACTCTCAGACTTCCCTGCAAATATTAGCACTTAGTAGTTGACAATGAGACAACAGGAAATCCCGGTAGAATGAGACAACAGGAAATCCCGGTAGAATGATCCCAAGCACCAAACCCATACAAATAACTTGTACAATCACGCTAAATCGATGACAGTGCACGCATGCATGGGGGCGGGCTTGTTTTTTCGCGCAATTTCACGCTCGTAAGTATAATTCAGTGACGATTTCCTACGGTATGCAAATTGCTCGTCTCACACCTAATGGAGACAAAAGCTTTGATGAATTATCATTGTCAAATTATTTGCTATTAAATTGACTTTATTTGGAAAATTCATCATATATTATCTGTTTATTGATCATAAAATGAACTATTTTTCTTTCCTGAATGGCTGAATTACAAACTAAGGCACTAAAATTACTTATTCTTAAAAGATAGAGATTTATCGATAATCTTTTCCTTACACAAAATATATTTGACATTTGTTTACAATGCTGGCAGCTCAATTGTTCCATTGACTTTTTTTTCCTTTTTCTTTTAATAACTTTATTTTCTTATTATGAAATCAACGAACATTTTTGGAATGGAATAATACCGAAATCTTTGATCTTTACCTGTTCAGAAACACTGAACAGTACAGTTCATCGTATAATTGTTTCTCTTAGATGTTCAATTTTCATTAACAAAAATGATTTATTAGCCAATGTTATTATAATCGATATCTATGTAATTTGATATTTAAGAAAATAAGAATGCTTGGTAGTTGCAAAATGTTTCAGAATAATTGAAGAAACTGTTTCTTCACAAAGGGTAGAAGATTTGATGCTATTTATAGCACAGGGAAAATGAGGCTTCTCTCATCTTTCCATTGCAATACTCCCAGGTAATTTCCCTAATTATTGAAATAATAGAAACATAAAGTCATTGGATTGGGTCGGTCGGTATCTGAGAAAGCTGTGTCCTCTGTTGTCCTACCCATCTGTCTACCAATTAACAATTAACTATTCTCTGATAGATGAGATTTCTCCGATAAAGAATGGATTCTCTCACGCTAAATAATGACAAAGATAGCGCTGATCAATTGACCAACCTGATTTACCTGAGGTTAGAGTTAATCAATTTGCTCCCTTAACCTCATATAACTTTTAGCTAATTCTAAAGTTTTAAGCTTATTAATTCCTTTTTTTTAAATTGCATTAAATGAATTATATTATATCGAATTTTGATAAATAGTTGTAAAAAGTTGATAAATTCGTTTTTTAAACATTTCTTTTTTCACATCATCTTGCGCAAATTTATTCCTTCTTCAATCAAGCGCTAATATAAGTGACAAGCTTTCAAAGTGACCATATCATTTTCAAATAATGTCATTCTGAAATCTTATAACAACAACTAGTTTATAGCATCTCTGAATTAATTCTTTTTTTTTTTTTTCTTTTCAGTTAGGAAGGAAACAAAACCAATAACTGTTCATATAGCTGTTTCATGAGCTTTGAAAAAAGGCACTATTACACCAATGATGCAAACGAATGGTTATTGGATGAACGATGATAGCAATGGCAATTAAATATTTGAAAATTCACTAAATGATCGACATTCGGTCATTTTAATTGAGGACAAACAAAGAAATTATATTTTGCTAACCCACAGAAAAAAAACCGATAGGCACATCCGTTAGTCATCACTACTAAAGCATTTTTAAAAAAAATCAAATTTGCATAAAATTGCAACAATTTTTTTTTCTTTTTTTTGATTGAAAAAGAAAGGGTTTATTTTTGGAAAAAGGACATAAAGGAAAATTGAAATACACTTTAAAAAATTTCCCTTTTTTTTTGAAATTTAATCGATGTGTATAACAGAAAAAAGAACGAAATGTAAATTGAATTCAATTTGTGAAAATGAGAAAAAAATTTAAATTGTAAAAGGGCAAATATTAGCATTTAATGAGAAATTGTTGGCCAAGCATAAATGATTTTAGTGCTTCTAAATGACCTTATATTAATATTTAATTAGAACTTATTGGCAAAATATAAAGGATTTTAGTGCTTATAAAAGATCATATATTAGCATCTAATATTAACCAAATATAAGGATTTTACAGGAAACTAAATTATCCTAAAATTTCTAATCTTTTACTTTTCTTCCTGCTTTTTCTGTTATATAGAAATTTCTTCACAATTATTTTAGGAATAGAGTTAGTTCATTTCGATTAATCTGTATTTATGCATATTTAAAATTAAACTAATTACACTATTTCAGTGTATCAATGCTGTAAATATTAAAAAAGTAAAAAAAAAAAAGTGAAGAAAAGTTTTATATTTTCGGATTGTATCTTATTGAGTTGTATTTTTCTTAGCAAATAATTGTGAAGAAATTTCCAACCTTAAAAAACTTTTCTCTTACACTATAAAATTTATTACCGAATGAAACTTTTAAGTTTTTTTAATTTTCAAAAGTTTTTTCCTTTTTCCCAGAACAAATATCTACTAAAACAGAAATTTATTTAGCAGTTTTTCGTTATTGGCTGTAAAAATTGAATTCGAATTTATTTTTCAACTCTTTCACAAAAGCTTTTATAACAGAAAACATTTTAAAAAAGCCGAATTTGTTCATTTCTTTAGAAATTTATTTTTAGTCAATAAATTTTGTAATAAATTAAAATAGTTTGATCAATGTATTAGAATTTCAGCTTCATCCAAAAATGGTAATTCATTTTATGGCTGATGACGATTTTTATAGAAAAAAAGGAATTGTGATTGGCACGATATGGCTCGTGTAGCTTTTTTGTCATAATTTTATTTGCTCTCTCTCAAAAAAAAAAGACCCAAGAACAAAATAGATTCAAATTGAGTGAGAGAAATTTTAAAATTCATATTCATTTCGGATTTCATTGTTTTCTGTAAAAAAAAAAAAAAAAAAAAAAAAAAAACTAAACAAAAATAAATGGATGAGAAATTTAATTGAATTCATAACCAATTAGATTAGTTAAAGCAAAATCTGTAATTTGAAATCAATACTATAATGCCTCAAAATTCATAAGTTTTTAGTTTAGGAATCTAAAGCTAACTGTAAATATATTATAATAACTCGATATAAGATTACTTTATTGTTGACACTCTCTGAGACACTATGACATTACTCGAATGAGCATGTAAACTGTTGAAGGTCATCGGAGCAGAGATGGGATAAGGCAAGGAGGCGTCAAATTGTTATAATTCGATGTAGTGGAAAGGAAACAACTCAATTATGGATCGTTGAATCAATTGTTTCGTCGTATTTAGAAGGGTTTGTGCTATTCTTATCTTCTAAATAACTGCTTTATTGTACAGGGATAAATTATATGAGATACAATTGAGTACGTCCTCAGAACAACACAATCTACAATTATCTATTCGATAATCGCCTTACTTCAAACCTTACTTTATCATACTTTGCAAGTACTGTAACAGGTGCTGCACATAGCACAGTATCGTTGCAATAAGGATTAGAGATAGAGATTTCTTGCCATTTTATCCGGCATAAATCTCTAAAATTTGCAAATCTTTCTTCCAACAAATTCATTCATCAATTGATTTTAATTTAGCTTTAATTTTACTATTCTCTCATCTATTTATTATTACTATTATTAATTATTATCATTATTTTTATTATTTTATTATTATTGTATTATCATTGTTCTTATTAATATGTTTATTATTAATATTATTGTTACAACAATAACAAAATTAGTGCAAACACTATCTTTACTCCAAGTACTGAAGTTATTCAAATGGTCAGTGAAATTATGATAAGAATAGGATGGCACGTTGATAATAATATCGAAATTTCATGATATAAAGTGTCTATTATTTTATTGTTGAATATTTAAAATACTTTGAAGTATAATGATTATTCTTCATTAAGTAAATTTCAAATACGTTTTAACTTTGAAACATTCCATTCTTTGTTTTTCACTTCTTTATTCGTTTTTTATTTTTATTTTACCTTGTAACACCCAATGATTTCATATTAATGTTCTGCTTCGAATATCAAATATTAAAGAAATTGTTTTGAGATTATCATTTTCCTATTATAATCAAATAAAACAACATTTCTGAAGAGATCCTTTCTATTGTTGTCCAATCCGCATTGCCCTTTGTCCTATTGTTGTCACCTTGTGAATTCAAAGAGTACCAGTGATTAATACCAATTGCTATCTATCATTTCATATGTTTCCTAATTAATTTAATTTTGAGATTTTGTTCAATTTAATATTCTCTTGATTTATTTAAGCCTAACAAAGATAGTTATTAGAAGTAGGCAAATTAATGAGTAGCAATATTCATTCAATTGCTTATTGTATATTGCTTCTTCATTAAAGGATAACAATTTAATATCAAAAGGCAAATTTGTAATTCGAAAGAAAATCCATGCATTTATTGAACTATAACAAAAATGGAAATTAAGATTAAAATTTAAAGATACTGGATTGGAGCATTATTTTATAATAATTTGTAAGTGACTCTCAATGAATATATTTGGATGTGTTAGAGGAATATTATCAAAATATATTGAATAATCGAGAAATATTGCTAAGTTTATTAGTGACCAATGGAACTGCGTTCGTAATTCGGACGATGCTAACACTGAATTATTCTTTTTGATGTTATAATGTGTTCCGATAAATATTATTCATCAAAAGTAATTGTTAATGGTTGAAAGAGTATTGTTATTGAAAATTGTACGTATGCCTTATGTCGATAAAAAAAGCACGAAGTTCGATATAGTAAAAAAGAAAAAACCGCCTAAGAGGGTTTTTGAATATAATCAGTTATTAGTTGTATGCCATTATGGCCTTGAATGAAGTTTTTTCGCTTCGCAAATTTACTTAATTTGATTAAAAAATAATCAAAATATTGGGTGAAATTAAATGGAATGGTTATGCTATTATAAACATTTTCTGTAAGATAAATTCATATTTAACAGTTCTATTTAGTTCCATTGCACTATTAAAGCTCCGCACTGAATCTTCGAAAGATCATTTATATTATCATTGTTAGTTTCAATATTCCTGAAATTATAACAGTATTTTGAAATACTAACTGATATGGTTTCTAGAAATTATATATAAATTAACAACAAATATTATATACAGAGAGAATTTTCATATTTCGAGTATTAATTGATAAATGAATTTACTTTAAACGATGTCACTTAGAAGTGTGAGCTACTAATCTTACCCAACAATATGTAATTCGATATGAATGCGTAAATGTGAATGGTATTTCTCTTAATTGCTCATCCATCATTTTTCACTGAACGTTTGCGCAGGTGTGAATTTAATTGAGAAAACAACAAGCTAGAAGGACTTCCTGGATAATTGTCTAGTCTGAAGGTTATTTATTGTCCACTGTTAGCTTAGTTTACATAAGTCTACAGCTTAGTGCAAAAAAATTTTTGCTATTAACCACTTGCACAGAATACCATATGCTTTTTAACTAAGATTATCGTTTTCTCACATAATTATGAAAGGTCAAATGGGTCAGCAAAGGAGCATAGATTAGATTTAATGGTAAACAAATGCTTAAATGACTTTTAAGATTTCTTCTTTTTTTGCAATATTTTGCACATTCCACAACTTTCAATTCTAATCTTTTTCTCAACCACACTTTCTCTTTTCCTTGCCCTCTCTCTCTCTCTCTCTCTCTTTTATACTTTTCTGATGATTGCCACGTGGCGCAACAAATAGTTTCATCGAATTAATTAATCATTGCATAGTGGAAAAACGTAGACAAAGTAATGACTCTAAAGAGTGGTCAGTGTATGGAAGCACTTGCTGGGCACTTGTAAATGATAGTAAAAAAATGCTTTCGGCTTGAGATTATTGAATTCTTTGCAGTTGAATTAATTAAAGTGCCAAAGTTGAATGACCAGGTGTCACTTCACATTACGTCATTTATAGAGCCACTAACTGTACAATTGAACCTTTCGGCTATTAATACCGTAGTTTTTAAGTTACTACTACTGTGCGCTGTTGTCTTATTCTAGCAAAAAGTCGGAACTAAACAAATGCTTCAATTTTAACGATACTTTGTTAATTTAAAGACTCAACCATAGCAAAGTAATGAAATTCATGAAGAAAACTTTGTTTAACAAAATTTTAAATATTTGTTTATTCAAACAAAATTGCATAGCACCAATTAATACACAAAATAAGTACAAAAATAAATTGATTAATAATTAGTATTGTGTTCAATAATTAAAATGTGATATTAATATGGCCGACTCATTCTATCATACACTTTTCTACCATTCCGCCACTAAACATTATCTGTGACACAATAGTGCTAACTGTTATCGCCACATCTTCTCTATTACGGTTAGTGTAACACGGAAATATCACGCAGATAGGTACAAGGTAGACACGCAATTCACTTTTTCCTCAAATAGAATCGTTCAAATATTCGTTCCAGTAAAACATTGATGAAATTTTTTGTAATGAATTGGACGAAAGTTGAAAATGACAAACTTCGCAGCTGAAATTTATTTCAGTTTTGACCTAAATTATGAGTATTAAACGACTCAATGTTTGACCAAAGTTGGCAATTTGAGAGTTAGAAAACGAAATGTTTATTATTTAAAATATAATCATTTAAAATAATCTTTTGAGAATGAAAAAGTGAAGAATTTACGTGAATACGTCAATGGCAATATTTTTTGACAATTTGCGCAATAATTGTAACCGTAAACCCTTAATAGTGATTGGGACTTTATTACAGTGCATTAATATTTGCTTTGTTTACACAAAATCTAATGTGGGATTTATCTAATTTTGAGTGACTCATATTTTTCCTCCATAGAGCAGTTCTTCCCCGAGAGATTATGTAACGAATTCTAACCTGCGACTGCGGCGATGATGGCGCAGGTGTGCATGCAGAGTGTCGTTCTTCCTCACTGTAGTGGTACTCGAACCTGTCAGCCATATCACGCAATTGACGAGCTATCATTGACATGCTGAGTTGCGTTACTAAAATTCAATTCATTTTATGGAACGTAAAGCAGAATTTGAAATCCTTCGAAGAAAGTAACAAACCAGGCGATGTTTGCATTGCAGCATCCATAAATTTCACCTTCCGTTCGTCTTCTGTCGCAGGGATAAATACGGAAATGTGATTGCCTATAGGAACGATTCGTGCAGTATCCGTTACAACTGATTCGATGAAACTTGAAAGTATCGTTGCCGAACACGGAATATACCCTATCGGTGAAGGAAATCTATCGATGAGTAACGCAACGCATAACATCTGAAAGCGTATATTTCAAGGCGTTCAGCAGTTGACGGACGCATTGAATAACCCTTCCTACTTACTCATAGACAGCGTACACTGGTGTAATCTCTTCTATTATTATTTTAATTGCTTGGTAAGTAGGGAATTTGCGAGGAGTTATTGTACCGCGGTGGAATTTGCTGGTTCTCAGTGATAAGGGAGAGAGAGAGAGAGAGATTTGCTACCGTACCACTGGGAGATGACAATCACACGAATATGAATAGCCTTGTGCGGAACGGGCAAGCAACAGCAACAGCAGAAGCAGTCGCAGCACCGGCAACTGCTGCAACCTGATGTGTCGGATAAATGTGGGATGGACTACCGCATCACCGCAAGCTCCTCCTTCCATTATATCGTGCTAAAAACGATTGAATATATGGAAAAATAGGGAAGAATGAAAATGATTTATATCAAAATATTCAATGTTATTTGGGAAACGGAATTATATTTCCGTTTTCGCCTGTACTTGTCTGTTTCGATAATATAAAGCAGTTAGTAAGCGCTCTTTGTGAAATATTGACTTGTTTATATTTCGATCACTGCAATCTTCAGCATTTCCAATTTTTTAAAAATAATTAGAATAGAATGATTAAAGCACCGATTCACAGCTAATTTACAGAATTGATCCGATTTTATGTCCTAATCAGATTGTCAATTGATTAGAATTTGTCCTTTCTGAGTTTGCAAGTCGAGATGGACAGGTTTTTTGATAGCAGAAGTATTACTTGTTATTCTTCTTTCTATATTTGTAAAAATTAAAAATCTTTCAAGATTTATTTTTGAGAATATGGTTTATTGTTCGCGTGTTTTAAGCATCGTTGCCGCACCTTCACCTTAGCATAGATCAGATTCTATCAAGCGTTAAATACTAATCTCTTTGATTCAGTTGAATAATTTCTTTTCCGGAATATTTCCCGGATAAGGATGAGAATGCAATTAAAGGTACAAAATGCGATAATTGTTTGCAAATAAATGTATAACGGGAAAGTGTAGCATAGATGGATTA